AAAAGTGGCCTGTATCTGAATGACAGAAACAGTTTGATGAAGCCAGCAATATTAGCTATCCTGTGTCTGAAAGGGGCTTTCCAAATGCAGCTGGTGATTCAGTCAGTAGCATGTACCAGCAACACATTATTTTAAAACATTATTATATTTAATTAAAAATTATAAATGTGCAGCAGTGATGTCACTGGCTGGAAGAAAATGAAGAGCGCAGCCAAAGTTGCCCCCCTGTGTGTGTGTCTCATTTTCACACAGAATAAACAATTGGATTTTTAATAATGTATGGTTTATTATTTCATAGAACTAGGGGTTCAGTTAACTTTGACATGTATTTCAAATGAGCCACCCCTCTCTGAGTCTGTGCCCCAACCTGGCCACCCCATCCAAAATTTTCTAGATTTGTCCCTGCCACTGTGGTCCAGACTGAGCATCTCCACAATTTTAAAATGGATTAGAGCAAAAGTCTGGCACAGACATCTCTGGTTCCCACGTAATGAATCCCACCGCCTGTGGTGCCCAAGATAGTGGATGTGGTAAACTTTATTAACGCTGTCATTTTGAGCATGTTATCATGCTGACGGCATTTACTGTAGCTAATGTTGTGCCAAAGTGCAGCCTTCCAGAGCCACTAGCAAAGCTGTAGACTATTATTATCTCCATTTAAAAGAGCTTGAAGCAGCTAACAGGGCTCCACAGGTTACTCTCCTCTTGAGAGTAACCTGAACTACAGTTGTATTTGTTGCATGGACAGTATAATAAAATACAATAATGTGGCAACAGAAACTGCCATAAAAATTCTCACAGCTTAAGCCATACACTTGTAACACTAGTAGCCCTGTGGATAAGACACTTGTCTTACATACATTTATAACTGCAACATCCACAATTTGCCTCCAGCTGGAAACCTCTGTGCATGTCACCACCATCGCTGTCCCTCTCTGTTAAATAAAGGCAAAATGCCAAGAAAGTCATAACAACAAACTGTAGAGAAATTGCAGAGCTATAGTTTTTAATACCAAAATATACTGTTCCCAATTACTGTCACGAAACTCAGTCAACACCCACTGTACGACACAATCACAATAACTCGGTTCTTTTTAAAAAGCTTAAAAGCTTCTTAATAGTAGGATTATGGCAGGGCGGATCTTCAAAAACCTCCTGTGTAAGAGGCAAATGCATAAAGCCATTTATTCTGGTATAAGTAGCACAAAACTCAACAATGAGCATTGGAAAGATGTAATAAAATAGAATTAATCATCTTTCTTCACTTTTTGGATGGTAATATGCTAAAAGAAAATAAGAACAGCCACTTTAACCCACAGGGTTGGCTTCAGACTGTTTAATAAGGTGAAGAATGCCATGTGCCTTTGTGTGACATTATCTGATGGCAGCTCTGCATGGTGATGTGAAACCCATTTTGCAGACAGAGAGAACTGCACCTAAGGTACAAACACTCAAGCCTTTCGATGTTTCCACATTGCAAGATGATGATACCACCTAACACACTGTTCATGAACAACAAGAATAAGCCAAACTGCATCCACAGCTTCCTCAAAATGCAGATCTGCAGTACACAACACAGAAACTTTATGGGAAGTCGAGTGTCACTGTGTAAAAACCCTGGAGAGCTGGACACAGTATCAGATTTGGATCAGATTGTGTTGACAGAAATTCATAGCTCCACATCTTATTAGACACTTAATGTTTTTCTTTTTACTTCAAGATGTGTGTTTATTGGGACCTAAAAAGTAAACTGTTACGTGTTGGCAAGTCTATAGACTAACTGAGGGCATCATGGTTGTGTCACCTGTGTTTAGTGCTCACAGTTCGGGGGGGCTGAGTTTGATAAGTGTAGCTTATCTTCAGTAACTAACCATTCATAAAGATCGGCACACATGCTTTAAGTCTTTTACAGTTCAATGTTACATAAGTTGTAAGAAAGACAATATTAGCCAAGCAAAAAATAGGAAAGTCAAGATTTTTAACTTTTGAGTGGACATTCCTGACTATGGCCGTGGTCATCAAAAATCAAAAAGCTATAATGACTGAGTTTGTTGTTTATTGTTTGTCTAACAATTTATAATAAACAGCTTTTTCAGGATTAGTGAAATTGAAACTAAAGTCAATGTATCATTTTACACATAATCCAAAAGATATTTTAAAAATATGACACACATTTGGTTTTAAATACTGTAAATATTTATGACCACATTAGAAAGGTAATCATATAGGGGTTAGAAATGATAAATTACAAAACATGCTATTATTTTAAGGATATTACACATGCTGCTATTTTTCTGTTGTCTGAGGCAGAGCTAAGTGGCTGTTGGGTAAAAACCAAATGATTACATGCAAACACATCCTGAAGCTATTCCTGTTCAGGTCCTAATAACTGTTATTTGTTGTTGACAGGGCAATAATAACATGTGGTACTTTGCTTGTCAGTGATTGTTAATGAGCCTGTCCATTTTTGTTCTTGAGTTGGTAATAGGAAGGAGCCGTAATGCCATTAGCATATTCATATCAAAAGGCAGACAGTGCAGACCAGATAAATCGGCATCTATGTTCACATCCTTTTCTTCTGACCTGTTTCATTCTTCTGTCTTTATCTTGTTTTTCTTCGGATAATTGTCATCAGGTTAGAGCCATCCCAGTGCCAAATCTAACTGACACTGGTCCATTGACTGTCTGGTAAACTAGGCACTCCTCCTTTTACATCCAATTTCTGCCATTGCTTTAGCAGGAGATGTTCTCATCCTTGCAATGCTGACAGTTTCAGACATAGTGCACAAATAAACATTCAATCAGTTTTGATATACTAACAAACATATACAACAAACATATACAGGGTCAAGTGTATGGAGGACCAAAACTGCCATAATCAAATATAAAAAAAAAAAACATACACAGAAATACACAAATCTGCTTAATTTTATTTTTTTTCTAAAATACTGCATGAAATCTGAAAATAATATATTTTTCTTTTAGAGAAATAGAAGTTTTAGTTAAATATATATATATATATATATAATATTTACAAATAAATAGATAAGTACAAAATGAATGTATAAATACATATATTTATATTATTACAATAATTCATTCACATATTTATGTGCGTATGCATATATTTATTTATATATCTATTTATTTAGCATTTCTTTATTTCCACATTTATTTCTATTTCTATTTCACTGACTGTATGCTAATAATGGGGCGTGTTTTTGCTCTTCAGATAAAAGCAATCGAATCACCCCAGACTGGCTGCCTACTGCTCCACACTCCAGTCCAGTAGGTGGCGGTAATGGACCATTGCACTTGGTTGCCCTTCGCCATAAAACCTGAGGACGAAGATGAACTGACTTGCAGTTATGCACCAAACAAACAGGTGGTGGCGGTAATGCACCAAAAGCTTGGCTTGTAAACCGCCATTAAAACAACAATAAGAAGAAGATGAACCGACTCGCGCTAAAGCTGTGATAGACTAGTGCTTCCTGTGTACACGATGGCAGCACGTCACTCAGTTTTTGAGTTACTGCGGCAAGCAGCAGACCGACTCAATGAGCTTGAACCTCGTGAGTTTAATGCATAGAACGGAGGTTTTGGTGTAATATTATTGGTTGTTTGCGTACGCTCACATCTCTACATTTACAGCAACTTCGACCACAGGGCAACAAGGAGTAGCTGCTGAGGCAGGAGCACGAGCTACTGGTAAGGGAACATTTTTGAGCACAATAAATATCATTATGTTGTAGTTACTCACAACATAATGATATCTAATAGCCCATTTCTAATTTTAGACAAGTTCTGCATTGTTGTAATGCTAACTAACCTATAATTAATAACTAGTGCCCGCTAGTGCTATGCTGTTCTAATAAAAAAAAGACCATATGCATTGATTTCAACAATGCAGCTTTATTCTATGTGTTTCTTTCAACTCATGCAAAACTTGTCACGAACGGCTAATGTAAGCACAGATTACTAGCAACATGTCGACTGTCACTACATGAACTCAAGTTATGAGGGAGGCAAATCAGGTTTAAACCTAATCTAGATGTCAGAATGAAGAAGCCATCACAAAGTATGTTTAATATAGAGTTCTCACAAAAAAGATTTAACCTTGCTAATATGTTGTATGCTTGATCTTGCATTTGATAAATTTGCTACATCGCTGAGCTATTTTACTTGTGTGGTGTAGAAGAGAATTATTTATGTAGAGATACTGCTTGCAAACCAATGATGGTAAGATGATGTCATGGGGTAGGACTGGATAAGTC